TCATGTGACAGGTAAGTGGGCACAGGGATGGTGAGGTGGGCCAGAGCGCAGCACGAAAGGAAACCCAGCCCTCACCCCCACCACGTTCTCGGGGCAGGGCTATGCCAGGAAAGGGTTAACTCTGGGGCTGCCGCCTGATCAGATCAGAGTCCAGCGACAGGGGCCCAGTGCCTCCCCTCCCTTCTCTCAGGTTGTCTTGGAAACCCAGGCTTGCTGGCTGGAGAGAGCAGTGGGTCCCCCCTTGGTCCCTGGGCCCCTGTCTTCCCCACCCCCCACGGTCACCCTGCCAAGCCTGGCACGGCCCCTTGCCAGAGCCCAAACTAAGTGGGGGCAGGGAGGAGTTAAGACCTCTTTGGTCTTTGCAATGGGTGGCCCCTCCCTGAAGGTGTCAGGGTTCTGTTTGTAAGGGGGGTTCCATGTGAAGGACATGACATAGGCTTGGATCCCTGGCTGAAGGGGCCGACTGGGAAGGCCCCATCCTACCAAGCTCAATCTAGGGTGCTAGGGGTGCTGGAGTCGGGGGTTAGTTGGAAATCCCTAGCAGACTCTGCATGGGAGGTGGGATGCCACCTCCCCCTGTCTCAGTGAGGGGAAACTGAGGCCCAGAGAAGCCCCAGCCTGGCTCTTGGGGACATGGCCTGGAGGAGACACAGCAGAGGTCTGGGTTCCTCCCAGCTCAGATTCCTTCCCCGCCTCCTCCAGCACCTTCTCCCCTCAGCACCAGGGCACCAGCCCGCACCTCCCTCCCTCCCTCCCTGCCTGGCTGCGTGGGAAGGGCCCTGAGAACAGGGTGACTGCAGCCCCTGCCCAGAGGACCTGCACTGGGACAGTCCCTGGGACAGGTCTCCCCAGTGTCCCTCCTGTCTCTCCAGAATGATGTCACCTCCCCATTCAGCCTGGGGGCAGTGGGAGTGAGCGTCCCCATGTCCTAACAGTCCCCTGCCGGCCACTGTGGGAAGGCTGAGGCTGTTGGGAGGAAAGGAGAGAGGCAGGTACGCCTGGCTGCCCAGACTGGGGTCCGGGGGTGGGGGGG